AAAAATATCCATTTTCATAAAAACTAACAAATTATTACTATAATAAACATAGTATTATATTTGTTGCGTTACAAACAATGATATATTATTACATGTCTCAGTCAATCCTAAACGACACATCTTTCAACAGTAATTTAAATAGAACATGTGCCATATTAAAATAAAACAATCACAAGAAATTATTTACATGACTTCCTTTAAATTTATTTTCTAAACAATTCCGTTTCGTGGTCTGAAAGTTGGTGGAAAAGTGTTTTTCGTCTTCATTCACGTTTGTGCGTTTGAATTTTCACAAAAGAATCTGATTTGTTGTGCAAAGACGAAAAACATAGACGAGAAAACGAGACAACGTCAATTACTGTTGAATTATATATCGTCATCAATATTCTAAAATAAATTATGCTTTACTTTTCACAAGGCCTTTTGACAGAATTTTTAGTAAAACTTTTTTAATAAAATGTCAAATATTCTATACACATTGTATTTTACTAATGTAAGTATTATAAGTCATTTTTAATATTTTAAAGTGTCAGGTTCAGAGTAAGGGAAAAACATTCCGGTAATTTGTATGTTTCCGTCATTTGAAAACCCTTTTTCATCTTTTTACTCAGATCATATTTTAAAGCATAGGACGACAGATATTACGTCAATAAACCAAATAACTTCATGAAAATTTAAACAAAATAAAACGCGTAAGGACATAATTTCACTCTTTCAAACACGTGTTAGGAAGTTATTGCATAGTTTGGAGACATAAATTTGTTCAGTTTGCTTTTACAATAATGCAAAATCTAAATCAACATTGAAAATGTGTCACTTATTTCAAAGCTAGGGTCTTAGAATCAAAACTGATTCAAGGTGATAACGAATATGGCAATGTAATGTTACGCACAGCAATATGTGCATGATAAAAACTATATTTCTAATAGATAATATGTACCAGTTACTCGAATAATTACATACTTGTATCTATCTTTTATTGTGTCTTTTTTTTCTAAAAATTTACACTTTTGATACACCGTAATAAGCAATACTATACTACAAGTATTTCACATATCTAATATGTCTCTTAGCAACAAGACGTAGTAGTAACAGACAATACATATATCGTTTTCAAAGGCATCTTGTTGCATTGTACTATTTACATTTCATAATAGGTTGATTTAAGGATATCGTTCAAATCGAAATTGAATTCGTAGGTATCTTCATCTCTAATAAATATACACAATAATTTGTTAACAACAACTGTTGCAATAGAGATGTTGTATAAATAAAATTTAATGATTTTCATTCAGAACAATAAATTTGCATTAAATTCATATAAATTTATATCTTAATGTTATATTATATTAGATTTAATACCTTAAAAGGACATAGCCGATATGTAAATATATCAGAAACAACTTCTTAAACTATTTTCCAGTAATGGTTCCATTCTGAAAATTCCTTAGAGGCTACAAATGAGAGAAGCATTTATACAAATTTGTCTCAAAATATCCATTCCAGATCAAATAAGAGACAATGTCCTGTAAAACTAATGCCTGAATGTCCAAGTCATTCAACTGGATCTGTAACATTTATCTGAGGCTCAGTTCTATTTGCACACTTTCAATATCACTTCATACATTCATATAAGCAGATGAACGTCTTCAAGTCGTTATATCAAAAATGTTGCCACCCAGTGTTCAGTAACATATCTGATCCTAATTTTTGGATCAATTTCAAGATTTTATATTATTTTTTGGATCAAGATCAAAGTTTGTGTTCACAAAGAATAACGATCAAATCTGATTCAAAAATCGAGATCAAATTGATCCAAATTTTGTTTAGTAAACACCAAAATTTGGCTCAGAATCATGTTAGCCAAACTATCGGATCAGCTGATTTGAGCTTCATGATGATGCTTAAATCTTAGTGAACATGGGGCCGGAGGTCAGTATGCCTTATAGTGTAAGCATAGAGTATGGGCTGTTGACTGATCAACTAGTTATAAAGTTTTTAAAAAATGCTATTATATTGAAGTTTTTTTTTTTGTTTTTTTTTTTTTGTTATTTTGATCACATTTTGATAACAAACTTAACATTGAAATTTAAAAAAAAAACTTTTTCCAATAGAACAAATACATACATTTTTTTACTTTCTGTATAAAACCGAAATAAGGTGGTATAGATTCCAATTTTCCAACAAATTGTAAAGCAATAGGAAGAAATGTTTCTGACATTGGAAATGGTGACACGTAATTCAATAAGCCATAATCAGTGTGATTGTCGGGAGAACGTTGATAAGATAGTAATAAGATAGTAATAAGCTTTCGTTGATGTCGGTGTTATAATTAAATATACTTTGTTATTACAACAAAATGTCTTATTACAAAATAAGATACTCGATGAATTACGTAAAAAGAATAACAAGTCCAAGTAGTCTTCATTATGTGAAAACACCACCAAGCATGTTGTAGACGTATAGAATAAAATCATTGTTTTAGTTGTCAGTCACTCCTCTCCCTTCCAAAATTATCTTCAACTTATTCTCATTTTTGATCGCATATACGTGTTTATCTTTGACATTTTTAACACACAGAGACAGTGTTCTAACACGTTCAAAACACCATGACATTTTGTAATAATACTATTTAAATATTTTCTGGTCTCAAGATGAATATAATAGAGTAAATAACATGAAACCGACATGTAGGCGTAAATTTACATGAAATTTGCGAAATATGAAGTATCATTATGCATATTTTAGACAAACGTTAGTAGATAAACATTCGGGAATAAGCCATATTTAGAACAAATATGTTAAATATACGAAATTTCGACATAATCATAATAACAATGATAATCAAACAACTGAAAAAGTTCAAGGTTTCTACGATCATGATTGTGTCCTGTTTTCAGACTATTCATTCTTTTTACGTTATTTCAGGTAGTCTTCAAGCGTTAAAAATAAAAGAGAAAAGCAACGAAGAGCACCACATTTGTTGACTTCAAGCTACGAAAAAGGTACGATTATTGAAACTAATAAATTGGAAACATTATGCTAGTACAAAAGTTGACCACATTATTACATTATCGTACAAAATGCTTGCCAAGATGCAGCTGAAAATATGTTTGATTGTATGATGTTGGTAAAACTGAACACTTGCTGGTTTTAATGGAATTTCTGCAAATATTAGTATATTTTTTGCTTGAAAATGTAGTTTGTTCTACCTAATAAACTCTACCAATAACATGCTAAAATTCTTAAATGGATTCGCCCAGCTCCCATTTATCATTATCAATCTTCGGGTTTACTTATCAAGATAGAAATATATAGAAGGTAAGCCAACAACATAGAACTTGGTCAGGTACATGCTGGCATGGCTCTATCATGCTGGAAAAGAATAATCATGTTCGGAATCTACCAGAGTAAGGGTGAACCATTCATCTAATCAAATAACGTTATTTCAAAGGAAATTATAAACAAATTAATATTGTGAAAGATGCACATTATTGAAATATTGCTTGTATATAAAAACGTATTCGCATATTGTAACCGTATTTATCAAAACAAAATTGTCATTAATAAGTCTCGAGAAAATGTATTTGTAAAGTTAATGCTTAAATTGGTAACAAATGATCTTTTCCTAGACTTCCCATTTAAAATGTTTTAAGGAAAGTAATGAAGTGATGGAAATGTTTATAAAATTTGTTATTAGAAATTTAGTTCTCTATTATTTTTTCTATACAATAAATTTCTGTTGAAAAATATGTCATTTAGACATATATTTACCAGCTATTCACTATATATGTGTGCACCTAAATCCCCATTCTTTCATTTGATAAATACAACGTTTTCTTAACAAGTTGACTTTTTAAAATATCAAATATCCTCACTGTACCATTGTTATTTTACATAATAAATCATGTTTGTCATGGAAAAAGAAATAAGCAAATTAGCTGAATTTTGTCAGTAAAAAAGTATTGCAACAATGATGAAAATATTGAGTTAGTCACAGGTCTGTAACTGGTCAAGAATGTCATTATTGCAAGAAATGAACGAGATATAAATACAATGTACATTTACGTCTGCATGCTTCATCTTCTTATGTTTTATACTTATATTATGTGATATCACTGATCGGAAACGTGTAAAGTATTTATTTCAATGAATGTGCTTTTTATAAATTGATAAGTATTTGATTGTATACTAGTCTGTTTTTTGTTTGTTTTATAACTGGAAATGATTATTTTGAAAAAATATTGTACAGGTTTAAAACTATTTCGTAAATGAGAATTAAGAAATTACTGGCATACTTTTTCTTCTGTTGCATATTTTTAAATGAATTTTTATTGGGTTTTCTAAAGGGATTCGGTTTCATCTATTTTTTAAATATATTTGTTTGTTTGTTTGTTTGTTTGTTTGTTTTCCTTTGAAAGAAAAGACTGCAGTTTCTTACCATTTGTACGGGTTTTTTGTAATTATTGTGTATAGTTCCTATATGACATATTTTCTTGTTATTTCTAAACCAAATGATTTTTGGGGAAAACACTAATGGGCGTCTGCGAGCCTTCATATGGTGCTACAGATTTTGACATTGGCGTTTTCCAGAGACGTTTTCGTGCAATTTAAGATTTGATACAATCCCTATGTGGCATTTCCTGTAAATGTCAAAGATATCTCTTTCAGGAACTGTACAACAACGTAGTTTAAGACACGGGAATGATACACATTTATTTGTCTGTAACAAATGTAATGGTAAAAATAAACTGAGTACAGTGTCATTTTATACACTTGTGGAAGAGCGGGAAATTTTAGTGACCAATACATATATAATTATATTTTTGCTACTGGAAAGTACAATTTATCGCAGCTAAATACTTTGCTTCTGGGCATGAAAATGGTTTTACGCTCTATGTACATTATCTAAGAAAGTGTACCTTAGGAACCATTATTGACATAAAGTGTCTGACCTTAAAATAAAAGTACATCTCGTATTTTGTTACTGATACATCTACAAGAAACGTGTGTTTTGTAAATCGTTTGAGAATGCATAGCTGTATATATTTATATAATTTAGATTATATTTTATTCCTTAAAGTATTGTCCTTTGTTTTATTGTAATGTTGATTTATTGTTTTATAAGTGGAAATCACCAGATTACAGTTTTATCAATTATCTATATGAACACAGTATCCACATTTAAGGAATTAGCGTGGTTAACTATTACCAAATTACATTTGATTATCGTTTTGTTATTGTTTGTTTGGGTTTTTGGGAGGAGGGGAGTTTAAGTCACGCTCACATTGTTAATGTCACTTTTCCCTCGAAAGCTCCTTCGTGCGTTATTCCAGGCATGAGCTGGCACCTGAGAAGAACCATCGACCTTCTGCAAGCTAGCTGGGTAGCCCCTTCAGGTGTGAAAATCTAAAATCCAAGACTCGGTATTCCTCAAGGCAATATGAATACATCTGCTTCATAAATAGTTGTTTTCTCTTTTGTTTACTTAACATGACAATTTAAGTATACATAATTAACATTGACTGTCCTATTTTTAGTTTTATTTCCAACAAGCATATATTGAAAGTCAATGATAAGGTTTCCTTCCTGTTACATTCTTTTCTTTGGCGGTTGACAATATAACAAATCAATATTTTGTTGTTGTCTTTTTTTCTCTGACAAATCAAAATATATAATTATATCCTTTGTATTCAAAATGGTTTCCCTTACATCAAATGAATTTGCAAAACCTGATATTGTTGCATTTTTTTCTCACATCATAATTATCCTTCTACAGTATATGAAACCATATTAAGATAATGTATGTTCTACGTCCGGAGGGCTTAAAAGTTGTGATATATTATTAACGTTTTATAGCAGCTGTTTCACACACCTTTGATCATATTGTAGTGTTTATTTTCATAACTAGATAAAAGAACAGCTGAAGGATTTTAAGCATTAATCAGCAAAAAACATTATGATAGCAAAATACATATGTCTAAAAATAGTCTTGAATAAAGGATTACTGCTTCAAGTACAACGATCCACTCAATGTGTATTTTGGGCGCTCTATAAGGGTTTTCCATTTTTAATCATTTTACTCAATTTTAAAGATAGGCAAATATTTAATCACAGAAAATTTTGTTTGAAACATGTTATATTTTAAAAAGAACGTTTAATTACAAGCCGCATTTAATGTTAAAGTGATCGGGGAAAAGTCTTAGCTTTCAGACTTCCTGCTTATGTAGATGAATTGGAGCTCAATTAAAAATAATTTATGTCATGATAAAACTTAAATGTTTAGTAACGGTTATAAAATAATTTCTCTATCAACTATAAAATAATTTCTCTATCAAGTGAGCATTTCTGGGAAATAGGAATAAATTCCAGGAGACTGATGTGTTTTTGTGATATCGTAAAGTTTGTTTGAACGGGAAAAAAAACAAAGTACATTAAAAAAGTCACTTTCCCGCGATTTGGTTTTGAAAAATAATGTATCAATTGTAGTTTATACGCGGAAGTCATTCATTCGTTATATTTAAACAAATGATAGTACAAAGTATGTATTTGTTTGTCTTTCACAGAACAAAATGTCTTTCATGATGTCTTTACATTGAGTATTACATTTAACAAATAAATCAGCCCAGTAAACGACTTATTTTTTGCTGCTAAAACAATTTCCGCCTTAGCAATTATCGCCTTCACACCATGCTTGCACATATTGAATCAGTTGCTAGGCAACAGGAAACTTTCAAATTGATAATCGTCTAAGATTTATTACATGATTTGAACTTATGGTGTTCCTGGAATTGTTATTTTGGTATTTCTAAGTGCAGTATGAGGTGCATTTTTTAGTCAATGTCAAATGACAGTTACCTTATTTCACTCAATAAAGTATAGCAAGCATGGTCAAATGTTAAGTAATTGCAAACAATACTTGTATTTCATAAATTCTATTTTTAGGATATAATAGTTTCACTTTTAAAGAAGTTTTATTTAAGTTTTGATTTCTACTCGAAAGTGTTGCCTTTACTGTTTGCAATATTTTTTATAACTAACCATTAACTTGCTAAATTTTTAAATGGGCGTGTCTATCTTCCAGTTTTGGAATTGTCTTTTATCAATTTTGGGGATATCGAGTTGAAAATTTAAAGTTAGCCAACCAATAGCCAATAGCCTTGTTGAATTACTTAGGTGGCAAAGGCTATTCAATTTCGGTTTTAGTAGTGGAAGGGTTTTTGTACCATTCTACTCAATTCTAATTGGATAATGTTACCAAGTTGTTTTCCAAAGCTTTATTGATCAGGAATGGTGTCACGCATATATACACTGGTTTTTACTTCCACTTGCGTGACATAATATAAAATCGTTAAACTTGTTAATAGGCAAATAAACGAAAATATTGTCTTTATGACCTTTATTCAAGTTCTATATGAATATCAATGCAAATTGTTGTCGTTGTTTTTTCATAATAGATTTACTATTTCGTAAATGATTGGGTTTGGCAAACAAGGATTTAGCAAAATTGTATGTGTCCATATGTATGTAGACAGTTAATTTAAGTTTAAAATACAATATTTTTTAATCAGTGATAAAACTTTATTGAAGAGATTTCAGCTTCCGATAGCATTTTTACTTCAAAATTTCTTTTCTTTATGAAACAATAAACAAATGGTCGGACTCATTAAAATGCATTGAGATAATGTTGAGTTATAGTTCTTGTTAAGAATATTTTTTCTGCATCCTTTGCAAAGAAAACCATGCTTAAAAAAGGTTACATTTTTTTAAATTAAATCCTTACTTCTTGAAACAGTCCATTGTAAATGGTAAGAATTGAACATTATAGAACTTAGTAAGACTGCACGGTGATTTCGACTAGTGTTGTCCAAGTCCAAACGCTTCACCAGGTCATCACCCCCGTTAGAATTGACTTAAATAATGTATGTCTAGAGTGTGTCATAATGTCAAACACACAGACTAGTATCAACATCATTTTGAATAATTGATAATAAAATGTATGTAC